GGGGGGTGTGTGTCACACCCAGAGGATGGGATCTGGAATTTACCTCAGATTGGCTCTGGCACCCACTCAAAGGGCTCTTTCAGGTAAAATTGTGACAAAATGTCATGATTTTCACAGCTCTTGGAGGAGCACAGAATTTTGGGATTCACAGCATGAGTTTCTGAGCTTTTCAGGCTCCAATAAGGCAAACGCTACATCTTTCCACTGTACCTCTCTCAGCTGTAGCTCTTAGAGTAAGGTCAGTAAGAAAATGTGGACATAATCTGGTTTAAAAGGTGATGAGGTATGAAGAAATGAAGTTGGAAAGAAGGCCAAAAGAAGAGAGAGGGGGAAGGTGGGTGGGAAAGCAAATACAGCTATAAACTAAAAGACGAGAAAACCCATAGTTCAAAGTTTTAGTGAAAAACTGATGGACCTGAGATTTCTCCTCTCTTTCCCATACTGCACTAAACCAGAGTTGAGTAAGTTATAGTTAACTATAACTCCCCACCACTTTGGCAGTTAAGTCCCCAAACTCCGAAATTGTACCAACTCCCAACCCAGAACCAGACCTCTTGTAGCTCTGGGCAGGTGGTGTGCCAGCAGCTGACTAACATCTCCTACCATCGACAGGTACCACAGGCTCCAAGGACCAGAGACAGCGCTGCAGCTGGTTAGGCCAATGGCAAAAACAGATGTTAAGACAGGTGTGGCTGAGCATGGCTAGAATCTGTCTAGCAACTTCAGGTAAGCAATTTCAAGATTGCAGTGGGGACCCATTCCTAACTTTGAGGCAGAGAAAGGCCCCAGCCAGAGGGCATGCCGAGAATTTCAATAGACAGGGTTGCCTCAGAGCAGCTTCTCTCCCACATTCCCAGAACAAGGAAGGAGCCCAGGTCTCCATTTCCTTCAGTTCTCCCTTCCCAGACACCAAGGTTCCAAATCACTGCTCCTGGCCCTTAAAATGCCAGGCTTATAATGGGCAAATTTGAAGTCATATCTCTGTAATGTTGGTGCTATTACAGTTGAGTTGTGCCCACCTCAACTATAGTCCGTGGGATGACGTAGCTACCACATCGCTGACTTGTCTACACCGGCAATGGAGCTGGCAAACAGGGCTCTCTGTTGACTCATTGGGGGTTTGCAAACTTGTCCAGCAGTAGTTCCCTAAAAATGTTGTACAAGGGCACGATGTATAACCCCGCTCCCTAAAGCAAGAAGACAAAAGCATTTAGTGTCTACAGACCCTGTCCCAGGAAGGGAGAGGTATTGAGGTGAAACAGGTCGTGTCTATACAGTCTAGGCAAAGTGGACGTAGAACGGCAGAATCTGGTTCACATCACTCAGAGCCAGTGTGGAAGCTTGGCTCTCTTCTAATGCTATTTGGCCATGGCCTTAGAAGCCTCTGTGGATTACCAGGTGTGTATGTAACTTACTGAATGCTATGTCTGAGGCAGTGGGCCTAGAAGACAGACGTGGCACTTTGTTTTTTTCCTGCTCATGCCAGTTTTTCTGCTCCAGTGTGGCATAGACTGTCAACCTGCAAAGGAAAGGCACATAGA